ACCTCCCTTAATCTTCTTGTTGTTCTTTGTTTTGAATTTTATTTTATAACTATGATTTTTTTTTTAAACTATGATGTTTACATAGTTAATTAGGGTGGGGAGAGTCAAGAAAATTTTCTTTTTCTTCTTCCTGTATCTGGGAGGAAGACGGAGGGATAAGAGGAGAAGCCATACCCAGCCTGCCTCCCGTCTGTGTCATCCCAGGGTTCTGGATGTGGAGCGTGCTCTGAGGCTTCTGCTCGTCTGCTCAAGTGCTGTCGATCTTGCCCTCCAAGGATGAGGAAATCCTACCAGTCGTTGGTTGACGCAGTCCACCTTAGAGCCTTCATTCGCCCAGATATTTGCTGTCAGTGCTTGGCTGGGGTAGTTGACCAGTGTGTTCTGCCCTCCATTCTCTGCTGTGGTACCAAATGTCCTCTGCAAGCCGCAGTGGACTGTGATGTCCTCCATGTGCCTCTGGGTGTGCCATCCACTGCTCTGAGCCACTGAGGAGGCCCATAGTCAGACCACAGCTCCTGCAATGTTCCCCCCACGGTTGGAGGGGGATCCCAAAAGAAACCTTGTCTGAAGTGATCCCAGACCTGACTATAGTGTGTTCTTGCCAGTATGGAGTCCAGCTCATTTCAACACCCATATTAGCCTATGCACACACTGGTAGTTGAAATCACTGGGTCCACCCTGCCTCTTATGTCAGCCAACTGATGCTGCAGCCCAGCCCTTATCTTTTTATTCCAGATCCTCCCTCATTCCCGGTGAGCCCTGGGGGTTTTGGTCTCCTCCTGCTTCTGCCCAGAAAGATGTCAGACTGGAAGCTGTGGTGGTCCCCTGTGCCTCAGGGCAAAGCCACACCCACTGGGTGACTGCTGATGCCTGAGTTTGCTGGATTCTCCCAAGCACGTGTCCTTGATCTGTATGGAATTCTCAGATACCTGCTTTTGTATTTGGTTGAAAGGTTACTTGTATTGTTTGTTGACTTTATAAAAAGATTTGTATTTGTTTTTATTTGAAAGGCAGATTTTACAGTGAGAGGAGAAACAGAGAGAAAAAAAAATCTTCTATTCCTTGTTTGATTCCTCAAATGTCTGTAACTGCCGGAGCTGAGCTGATCCGAAGTGGGGAGCCAGGAGTTTCTTGGGTACTGTGTGGATTCAGGGTCCTAAGGCCTTGGGCCCTCCTCTGCTGCTTTCCTGGCCATTAAACAGGGTTCTAGATTGGAGGTGGAGCAGCTAAGAGATGAAGCAGCGCCCATATGGCATGTTGGTGCTATAGGCATAGGGTTGGCTTGCTAGACTGTTTTTTAAGTTAAAAACTTTCTATAATTCATCATAAGATTGTATAGGAATAAGTGGCCAAAGGAAGTGTTGATAAAAAAAAAAACAGATTATTTTGCTAATTTTTAACCTGCATTAAAAATGCTAGATACATATTTTTCTTAAACGCTTAATTGACTTCCTGATTTTTACATTTCACAAGAGAAAGTAGTGCTATACAGTTTCTGTGCTGAACTGTACATGTATAGGATTTCTGCAGTGGTATTTTCCAGTTATAAAATAAATGGTAGGTTCTTTATTTATATGATGAATTGTAAGTTGTACAAGAACTAGCATACTGAACAGCTACAACATGGGTTTTAGAACATGAGAAATACCAGTGGCCTGTTTTCCTTATACTTTAAGGTATTTTGGTAAAATTTTGACCTAACACAGTTGTTTAGATGTGAGGGGGTCTCAAACTTGAATCTGAAAGTAAAATAATGAGGCAGATTGTGTTAGAGTCTTGGCTTGGCATTTGGCGCAGGTGCCGTGCGGAAGTCCGTGCCCAGTGTGAAAGTGCTTAGGCTCAGGTCCTGTGCTGCGGCGGATTCTGCCTTCTGGCTGATGTGCAGCTTGGGAGCTGCAGGCGGTGGAAGTCGTTGGGTTTCTGCCATCCACGTGGGGGAACTTGATTGGCTTCCCAGCTCCTGGCTTCTGCATGGCCCAAACTCGGCTGTTAGGAAATAAAGCAGCAGATGGAACCTCTCTCTTTAATTGTGTCTGTGCCTTTCAGATAAGATGATGATAGATGAATGAAAACAAAAAAATAGTTTCTGGATGTTTTAATATATGAGGAGTTTTTGAACAGTTTATAACACATATGTGCTGTGAACGAAGTATGCACAGATTTCAAAATTTTTTTTTTATCCCCAAATGAACTCCTATGAGCTTGGGATAAACTATCTGAATAGGATCTAAGCTGCACTAGAAATCAGTTAGAGAGGAATCATTTTAGGAAAACATGAATTCTTTTCATTTAAATGAGAGCAATCACAAACATTGAACTTATGGGAAAACTAAGGTAGAAGAATGGTGAACTCGTTGATGTTTTTCGAGAAGTTCATGATGAGTTGGGATCTTATTTTTTTTCTTATCAGGGAGCTGTTTAAGAAAAATGCAATGTCGAGATTGGGCTTAAGTAGAAGGCAAGTAGTCCGTGGAGGAGACAGATAATGAGAGTCTGAAACCGGGCATTGTTTTTGGAAAACATTTTGGTATTGCAGAAAAAAATTAGGCGACCACAATTCCTTAAAATTCCTTTCAGTGTGATACTGTGAATATGCATTTTCTTATTTGTTCTCAATGACTTAAAGAAGTAGAGTTCAGATGGATCTATTTCTTTCATTTTTAAAGATGTATTTATTCATTTCAAAGAGTTACAGAGAGAGAGAGAGAGAGAGAGAGAGAGAGAGAGAGAGAAGCAGAAAGAGAGAGCAAGCGTGCGTCCTCGTATTTGCTGGTTTGCTTCCCAGATGGCTCAACACTCAGGGCTGGGCCAGGGGGAGGTCAGGTTCCAGGAACTCCTTGTGGTCTCCTACATGGGTGGCAGGGACCCAGACACTTGGGGCATCTTCTGTGGCTTTTCCCATGCGATAAGCAGGGAGCTGGAGCAGAAGGGGAGCAGCCTGGACACAAGCTTCTGCCTGTCTCCAGTGCTGACACCACAGGTGGTGGATTGACCCTTCCTGTCTCTGCTGATCCTGATTCACTTCTGTTTTGGGTAGGGAAATTAAGACCTTGGAAGACTGCAGTGTAGCCAGCGTCACGTCGCTGCTCGGCAAGTGCTTGAGCGTGAACCAAGGCCCTAGCTTCAGGCCTCACGCTCTTTCTCACTGCTCTGCGCCATCTCTATGCAGTGTTTACGGCAGGCGTTCACACAGAGCCTGACCTCAGCAGGCTTTACAACATTGGTCGATGATGTTGAAGGGCATGGGTAGGAGCCCCTTGAATACAGGCCCATGTGGATACCTGCAAGGGCTGTTCAGTGAGGGCATGGCATGTGCCAGGATGCTTGTGCCTCCTTGACATCCATCTTCCCTGGCTAATTCCTGTTTTATCGGAAGGTCGTATGGTATGTTACTGTAAAAATAGAGGTGGGCTGTTGTTGGAGGCTGCTGGCTGTAACCACTGCGCAAGCCGGATGAAGGAGTGCGAGCCAGCAGGCACCAGTAGGTTGATTTCTTGCTGGTTAGGTATTATGGATTAAATCTCTACAACATCTTCTCCCCTGTTGACCATAGCCTCTAAAAACTTCAGTGCCAGAAAGAGCAGAGCTGTGTCTTGATTTTCTCATCTCCTTCTCTCTGGGATAGATAATGCTTCCATTGCTCTTTCCAGCTTGGCTTTGAGACCCTGCTGTGAATGTAGCTGTTGAGGTCTTTCATGTTGCACCATCAGTATTCTGGTCAGGCAGAAGTGTTGGGAGGCTGGCACTCTTCCTCAGGATGGCTAAGGTGGTTTTTACTAAATCCATTACTAGGGCCGGCCTGGCAGAGGCCCATGACAATTGGCTTTCTTGTAACTCCCCTAAGTGCCGATACTTGAGCTTTATAGGAGATTGTCTGAACCCTTCTACTTCTGAGGTTGGAGGGAGCGGCCAGTTGTCGAGTTCAATAAGCTGTGTTTGTGCTGCTTTGTGTTTGCTAAGAAAAACCAAGCTGCCATGGTGACTCCTGGCTTGTTTTCGACTTACCTGATTAAATTTTGCTGTTGCACTAATAAATTGAAAAGAAACATTCTAATTAGTTTCTGCCATAACAAGGACAAGCTGAGTGCTCTGGGAAGTGTGAGTCTGTTGGGCAGCACCTGCTGGCCCGTGGGTATCAGCTCTTCGCCTGTCTCTGCGCCCATCTGCCTGTGCATAAAGGCAGGGCCCTCTTGCCTCTGGGTACTTCCGTGTCCCTCTAAATTAATAAAGAAAAAAAAAAGCCTTCTCTGTATTCAGTCTGGTGCAGAGTTTTGAAGGATAATTGAAAGTCATTAGGCTGGTTTTCATTCTGCCCTTGCATGTGTAGGTTGCTAGTTGAAATTTGGTAACTGTTTTTGAATTGTTGGTTTTTAGAATAGAAGTTTCCTATTTCAAAACTGTTGGTTACTTTAGGGCACTTGTTGGCTTAGTCTTACAGTTTTGTTTTTAGAATGGACTATATTTAAGGATCACTTTTTTAAAAAAAAAGATTTATTTATTTTTACTGGAAAGGCAGATATACACAGAGAGGAGGAGAGACAGAGAGGAAGATCTTCTCCCCAAGTGGCCACAGCGACTGGAGCTGAGCCAATCCAAAGCCAGGAGCCAGGAGCCTCTTCTGGGTATCCCACACGGGTGCAGGGTCCCAAGGCTTTGGGCTGTCTTCGACTGCTTTCCCAGGCCACAAGTAGGGAACTGGATGGGAAGCAGGGCCACCGGGATTAGAACGGGCGCCCATATGGGATCCCGGCACGTGTTCGAGGTGAGGACTTTAGCCACTATTCTATCATGCCAGGCCCAAGGATCACTTGTACAGTTGCTTTTGACAGACGGGGAGGAGGCCAGTGTAATGAGTCCAGAGGGAGAAGGACAGAGTGTGTGGGTGGAAGGCACCAGGATCCGCCTTCCTGTGTGTGTTCATTCCTGATGAGTGGACCTTTACCTGAGCTGGCTGTTCCTCCTGCTGTACCACCTGACTCCACTCTGCACTTGCCTTTTAGCTGGAGACCGTGGGATGGCAGCTTAACCTTCAGATGGCTCATTCTGCGCAGGCGAAGCTGAAGTCTCCCCAGGCCGTGCTGCAGCTGGGAGTGAGCGGCGAAGATTCCAAGGTAGGGTGTGGGAAGGCGTGGCGGCCCACTGAGGCTTGGGGCATCTTCTGTTTGTTAGGCCTTGTGCTTCACTGCTGACAGGGCCCTTGACAGCTGGATTTAAAATTTATCTATGACATGGTTACAGTTCACCCAGGGTTTATATGTTGATGTATCTTTATTTGTGTCAGGATTTGATGTCAGATTTAAATGTCATTTTTTTTTAATCTTGCTGAATAAATAGCTTACTCTGTAAGATACCTTTCTTACAACAGTTTTTCATAGTCTTGCCTTTAAATTATGCGCTGTAAAGATTTGATCAAATCTGTACAATTAGGATTTTAATATTTGGGGTGTTTTTGACTGTCCATGGTTGTGTTGCTTTTTGCTGTGCACAGATGCAGAGGCAGTAATGCCAGCCGGCACCTGGGTTCTGATGACGTTTGGACGGTGGTTCCAGGGGGGTGTGTGCGCGTAAAACACAGTTCTTTGGATTTATTTTCTACCACATGGTGATTTTTCCTTTAGCATTATCAAAGATTGGAGAATTGCTATGGAGTCATTTTTCTTACCGTAATTTCTGGAGAAATATGTATTTTTGATTTAATGACCTCTATTTGTTGTTTTTGGTATTTGCTTAACTTTTTAAGAGAAAAACGAAGGAGGGAGTTTTTCCTCGTAAAGGGTTTAGGCCTTTTTTTGCATTTTCATTTTAAGATCAGTAAGATAAAGCTGAGTGAGGAATTGTGATCTGAGGGCGGAGAGGGCACAGTGGCTGAACTTGATCGGAGACGAAGGGAAGGTGTGTTGTGTCGCGAGCACTGGAGGCAGAGGCGCCGTGGCCTTGTTAGCACCCGCACCCTTCCTTATGTCATGCATTTTTCTGTCTGCGTGAAGAACTAGGTCTGGTGCCATGCCCGGGTTACATGATGGCACAGGCTCATCCGTTGGCTTTGTCTCAGATCATCTCTGTGAGCTTTTATTAAAAGAGAGATCAGAAGTTACCAATGTTAAGTTTGTTATACAAAGTACCATAAAGTGCAAACTTGTCATCCCTGCGCAGTTGGCATTCATTTGAAACAAGAAAATGTTAGATAAACGTATTTTAATGTACAAGGTGAAATTATCCTGAAAGTGAATTTTGTAGGCAGTTCACTGCATTTTCATCCCTGGTTCTGGCAGGGCGTGGGTCCTGTGGAACCCTCTTTCTCCTGTTGCTGTTCCAGTGTGCACGTGGGAGCCGGTGTGCTCACTGGCTATCGCTCCAGATAGCATTGTCTGACTTGGTCTCCTTGTGCAGTATTTCTGTCTCATGGCTTTCCTGTTTTGCTACCAATTTTGCCTCCAGACCGGCTGATTGTAGCTTTCCTGCAGTGTTTTGATGTGTAGTCTAGTTGTCTTCACTTGGTTGTTTGCTCCATTCTGTAAGGTTAACTCGTTTTCCTGTTCCACAGATACATCAAAGCACGTGTTCTGGGCATCTTGATTTTTCAGGTCTGTTTCATTAGGGGGCAGTAGAGTGCTTTACTTAGCCCATTTCCTTTTTCTGGCATACACAGCCTTGTTTGAAATAGCACTCAAAATAATTTGTGAAGTCAGTAGTTATGGAAAATGCTAAGTGTTTACATTTCTAATCTGTATGTAACAATGGAATTCTCTTGTTTCCCACCTGCAGAATTAATGCGTATTAATCAGATATGTATAGAATAAACAAATGAAGTCATTATGATTCAGCTTTTGTTAATTTGTGTAGGCTCATACGCGAAAAGGAAGTTTATTTAAAATATCTTTTTTCACTGCTGGCCTTTTTGTTATATTCTGTCACTTGTATTAATATATTTGTGAGAGAAAAACAATTAAGAAAAACCCCAAGGTAATTGGCGATACAGGTTAAGTGTAACTCCTTCCAGATTGTTTAAATTCTTCTGAAATTTCTACATAGAGAATAGCAATGTTGTAGGAAGCAAATTCGGATAATTTTAATAATGTCAACATTTTAGATTTGGATATCCTAATTCAATGCTGTGATAAGAACTAGTTCAACAGCATCATGTTCCTAGTTATAGCATGGGCTTATTCTAAGATAAGAAACAAAAAGCATCGTTATGTGAATAACAGTCAGATTTTCATACGCATTTTTATGTATTTATGTAATTTTAGAGTAGTTATACCATTTACATGTCCACCAGCAGTGTTTAAAAGCTGTGCTCGATCCATGTCATTTTTAGAATTGGATGGTGAGAAAGCTTTTGGGGGGTGATGAACGTAGGTTTGAAGTGTCCTTTTTCCCCTTGATTGCTAGTGAGATGGCTAGCGTTGCCTGTTGTTCTTGGCCTTGGAAGATCTGTGTTGAGGCGGCCATGAGGAGTGCTGGTGCAGCCCTTTACCGGCCTGTCCCACCGCTCTGGCCTGTCCCCCGCTCCGGCCTGTCCCCCGCTCCGGCCTGTCCCACCCTGTCCCTTTGCTCTGGCCTGTCCCCCGCTCCGGCCTGTCCCACCCTGTCCCTCTGCTCCGGCCTGTCCCACGCTCCGGCCTGTCACACCGCTCCAGCCTGTCCCACCCTGTCCCTCTGCTCTGGCCTGTCCCACCCTGTCCCTCTGCTCCGGCCTGTCCCTCTGCTCCGGCCTGTCCCACTGCTCTGGCCTGTCCCCTGCTCCGGCCTGTCCCTCTGCTCCGGCCTGTCCCTCTGCTCTGGCCTGTCCCCTGCTCCGGCCTGTCCCTCTGCTCCGGCCTGTCCCACCGCTCCAGCCTGTCCCACCCTGTCCCTCTGCTCTGGCCTGTCCCACCCTGTCCCTCTGCTCCGGCCTGTCCCTCTGCTCCGGCCTGTCCTTCTGCTCCGGCCTGTCCTTCTGCTCCGGCCTGTCCCCTGCTCCGGCCTGTCCCACTGCTTTGCGGTTAACTCTCCTGTGACTGGGTGAATGCTCTTTAATGTTTGTTTTTAATTACATTTTTACATTTTTGCGGCTAACCTTTATTGGGAGAGTCAGTCCTGGTCTTTATTCCTGTAATATTTATTCCTGTCTTGATAGTCATGAGTTTCATGAAGCTGGCAGTTTTGGGGAACCTTGCGTCGAGCTGCTGTGCTTGACGGAAAGGCTGGGGTGAGGAGGTTTCTGTGGCCTTGCAGACAACCGTTGTTCTTTCCTTAGGTCTTGGCTCATTTATTGCTGGACAGTTTTGTTATGTATGACAAGGAGCAGGTGCTAACATATCTGAAGGTCTTGTCCCAGGGACTACAGAGTCTAGGTCACCATGTTCACTAATTAAGTCCAGGACATTTTATTTCTCCTGTGGCTAATCATTTACATTTGACACACACCTGTGCTTCTAGGCGCCTTGCGTCTGTTCTTGTCCTCTGTGTTGTATTTTCATTATATATAGTGTATAATTTCTTTGTTTATGCATTTTTTTAAAGAGATTTTTAAGGAATTTATTTGAAAGGCAGAGTTACAAAGAGGGAGGCAACGATAGAGAGCTGGCTCTCTCCGCTGGGTTTCCTCGCTACATGGCCACAGTGATTGAGGCTGGGCTGCCTGGAAACCAGAAGCCAGAAAGGTGGCAGGGAACCAGGCGCCTGAACGATTTCCCACTGCTTTCCCAGGTGTGTCAGCAGGGAGATGAATTGGAAGCGGAGCAGGCAGTACTCGAACCCATGCTCCTGTGGGATACCAACATCATTGGCACCGTCCAATCCCACTGTGCCACAGCACTGATCTCCCCTGTGTATGTTTATAAAAACAGATTTAAAAAAAGATTTATTTATTTGGAAGACAGAGTTTCAGAAAGAGAGGGAAAGAGAATAGAAATCTTCCATCTGTAGGTTTGCTTCTCAAATAGCTACGCTAGCCGGGGCTGGGCCAGGCCAAAGTCAGGAACCAGGAACTGCACTTTGTCTCCCAGGAGGATGGCAAGGGCCCAAGGACTTGGACCATCATCAACTATTTTCTCAGGAGCATTGCCGAGAGCTGGATCAAAAATGGAGTAGCCAGGACTGGAACTGGTGCCTGTATGGATGCTAGCATTGTAGGTGACAGCCTATCTTTTTCTGTGTATTTTAAAGGTTTCCCATGCAACACAAAGGGAAGCCCAGAGGCCTTAGAGCCTGGGGAACCTGTGGGATCTAAGCCTGTGCTGCCAGTTTTTTTTTTCTCCTCTGTTTTTCCTGGAATTCTGTCACTGTGTTCCTGCTGAGTGGTCCTTGCACTTGTTTGCTTTCTCCTCTGATGTGTTTCTTTGTGAGATAACCACCCACAAGCTCCTTTCCTCTCCATCTGGTCCCTGCTCTGATGGCACCTCATCAGAGGGAGGCCTCTCTTGCGCCCATTGCAAGTAATTATAGGATCACTCCTGCTGCTCTCTGTCTAAATCTGAGAGAGGTACTGAGACTCTCCGGTGATGTGAGAGGAAAAGGTGAACTGGAAAGTATGTTAAGGGCCCCGATTCGTGCCTGGGTTACTGGCTGCTGAGCTGTGGAGTTTGTCCAGGCACAGGTGAGCACACTGGTGCATGGGACGAGCTTCGTTACATGCACCAAAAAGGTTCCAAAGACAGAAGCGTTGTTGACTTAGGGCTTCCAAGTGGGATAAAAGGCATGGACCGTTGGAGGAGAGGGCAGGGCAGAGGCTCGACTCTGTACTTAGTTCACCTTCCTGATGATGTTTTTTTTATAAGGTAGGAAGTGTTTTGTTTACAATGAGAAGATTTTCATACGACACCATGTGATGATCTTAATGGGAGTCAGTGACCAGAGCAAGAAGAGTTTCTGAATGCTCAGCATATGAACTTGGGTTCCAAGTGCAGCGCCTTGGCAACAAGCAGGTGTCTTTCTAGAGCCACTAAGTAGATAAAACTAGAAATAGATGTACAGGTGAGACTGCAGTAACCCTCAGGTAGATGTGCTGCACAGCTTTAAGGGCTTTTGCTGTGGGCCACTGTTTTAGGGACAAATGATGACGTTTCAAAAATGAATTTATTGTGAAAGCTCAGCTTAGATTCTTGCATTGGTTATGAGCTAAGTTCAC